GTTCGGCCTATTCTCATAGATGCCGAACAGCAGTGAGTGAATAGCCGAATGCCGCCGAGTGGCATTCGGCTCGGCAATCCTGCTCGATACATCTGTGGTATCGAGCAGAATAGAAATATGGTTAAAAAAGTAGAAAAAAAAGAATAGAAAACGATTGGGCGGAGCTAGCAGTGGCAGCTAGCTCCGCCCAACTATTTTCTATTGGAATGGGCAGATCTGCTGCCGTCAAAATAAAAAACATTTTAAAAAATGTCTCCCGGAAAGGTTTACTCTGCTAGATCGAGCAGAGTAAACCTTTCCCTTCTCTGTTGTCTTTTTTTTTTCTTCTGATATCGGAGCCGTTGGCTGCCATCAGAACAAAAAAAAATTAGCACTGGAATGCATAGCTACATTCCTATTGGCTATTGCAATAGCCAATAGCAAACTAGCTATTGCACCGGCCTTCTGCTGCTGTCAATCACTAGAGGGGACCTGATGGAGAACTTCAGGTCCCCCCTGCTGATTGACAGCAGCAGAAGGCCGCTGCAATAGCTAGTTTGCTATTGGCTATTGCAAATTGAAATAGCCAATAGGAATGTAGCTATGCATTCCTAGGCTTATTTTATTTATTTTTTGTTCTGATGGCAGCCAACGGCTCCAATATCAGAAGAAAAGAAAAAAAAAACAACAGAGCAGGGAAAGGTTTACCTTGCTCGATCGAGCAGAGTAAAACTTTCAGGGGAAAAGTAACTCTCTCCTGGGTGGCCGGGAGAGTTGGGCTATCTGGAGATCAGTGTCCCTGGTTATCTGGTAACCAGGGACACTGATCTGCCTGTGCAAGTGGTCGGAGCCAGCCGTGAGATGACGGCTGGCTCCGCCCAGCAGTCCGTAGCAGGCTACCAGCCAGCCAATGGCCGGCCTTTTGGCTAGCTTCTCCTTTCACCTCGGCTCAGTCGAGCCGATGCATATGCCTTCGGCTCGACAGAGCCGCTCGGCCGACTTCGGGAGCTGTACGGGCTGTAGTGAATGGCCCGTACAGCAGCCCTTCGGTTCTACTCAATCGAAGGGGTCCTGGGACCGAAGCTAGCCGAAGGATCAGCCGAAGCTATGGCTAGATCCTTCGGCGTCTTAGTGAATAGACCTTAGTGATAGTATTATGGTAAGAACTAGTGTGATGAAGGCTTTAGAACGGGTGCTAAAAACCCGTTGCTATTAAATAAATGAAAGTCACATGTGCGTCTACCTTATACCAATGCAGCTCTCATGTGAGTCAGATAGACGTGTCCAATATGTGTATATCAGTCCACTTGTGTTTCCATAAGCTGGAGGCAGCCTGGAGGGCAGACATACAGGTTGTATGCTCACCAGATTAATGTCCTTTTTCCAGGCATTATGTTTGCACAAATTTATATCTGCACTTTCAGAACTGTGAGCATTGTTCAGTAGCTGCAAGGTCCACTTCAACTGAAAAAGATGACAGACTGTTAGGAAGTAGCACCTACCACCCCCAGGATCCTAACTCAAACCTGATTTCTGACCACAATACCTCCAGCACCTACATTTAAAATAGTGAACATACAGGTGAAACTCGAATAATTAGAATATTGTGCAAAAGTAATTGCAGTAAGTGCTGCAAAAGGGGCCCAAACCAAGTACTGAGTACATATGCATGCTTGTACTTTTCAGAGGTCGATATTGTTCTATGTACAATCCTTGTTTTATTGATTGCATGTAATAATCTACTTTTTTGATGTTGTGGATTTGGGGTTCTTGGGGTTTTCATGAGCTGTAAGCCATAATCATCACAATTATGACAAATCACGGCTTGAATTATCTTGCTTTGCATGTAATGAGTCTATCTCACATATTAGTTTCACCTTTTAAGTTGCATTAGTGAAATAAATGAACTTTGCACGATATTCTAATTTTTCGAGTTTCACCTGTAGTATTGGAAACCACTAATTCCTAAATTAGCCCAAGCTCCATAATTTGATACATATCTCCATGGCATTTGGAATGCATTATCATGCATTCTGAATGCCTTTAGCATGTTTGAATAGAACCATTACAGATGTAATTAGGACTAAACTGTGTGTGCAATATTAAGTAGAGTGATAGTCAATGAAATAATGTAAGTCATTAGAGGATACTTGCAAATTTCATTTTCCAGTAACTTGATTTCTTTTTGGCACCGCTTGCTTAATTGTTTCCCTGTTGAAAGAGGCCATTAAACTGTTTAATGACTGTATTGCCAGTACATATGATACTATGCAACTCCCTGAATTGAAGAGGGTAAAATAATGTTAGAATGTTGCGATAAAAGGCACAGGGCTTAAAGTAAATGTCTAGGCAAAATAAAAAAAAAACATAAAACATTCAGTACATCTCTGCAATACATGCACATTTATTCTCTTTCTAAATGATGCAAGTATAGAAAAATACCTGAGCAGCAGAGCTGAAAACACTGCTTGGGAATCAGGTACAGCAGAGCCAGAGTTGTCAGCTCACTATAGGAACTTAGGAGCTTCCTCGATTTCTGGCAGATCAACAGGTATTTTTATGTACTTGCTTGATTGTATTCTTTTAAATGCTGCACGTACAAAAGTACAGTGTTGTCAGCTCTGCCTAATATCTCACTGAATTCCTAAGGGTATTTTTCTGTATTTATAAAGGGTAAAACATGGGGAAAATGCAGGTATTGAAGAGATGTATTGATTATGTTTATTTTTTTAATTTTGCACAGACATATATTTTAAAACAATGAATATTACCAAAAGCTAATACATAAGGTAACAAAACTGAAATAATGACTTATATAAAGAGAAACACCATTAACCATATAAAGTCTGCTGGAGGAGTAGTGATAAGCATAATCTATATATAATGCTCATCTCCTTACTTATTTCCCTCCATTCATCACAGCTACTTCTGGGTCCACACCTTGCTTTGATAATAGTGGAGTCCAATTAAAATTCAGGCTGATATGAAGTGTCAATGGCTTGGACAGGCCTCAGTATCCATTCCGTTACTTTATTGTGTCATTGCTGTAAATGCAGTTGTTGATGAAGTAACTGTAATGTTTTGACGCAGCTGTAAAGCCCAGAAGTTGCCTTTTTTGTGACCATTGACTTGTTCTATCATATCAGTCGGTCAACGTCCTAGCAATATAGTAAACATAATACAAGTCTGGACCGTACCTGTCTTCTTTGGTGTTCTTGTAAATGTTCCCTTCACAGTTCTGCAGTGAGAATTATCTCCTCCACACACCCCGCACTTATCTTCTACTTTATTGGATCCAATTTCCTTGTCACAGCCAACTTTCTGCAATATAGAAAAGAGGGAGCAAATCAGCATTAAAAAAAACATTATTAACTGGATTTATGCCTCTTTACTAATTCACAAATCCAGAAATGTGGGGATTTTGTTTCTCACTTTTGAAATAGATAAAGCTATGCAAATTATTGTTTTATTTATATCTACTATCAACTGTTCATGTATATGACTGTTTAGCGTTTGTTAGCTGTCATCATGTAAATTCTGATTCGGCATTTTTTTCTTCTAATAATAAAAAATTATAATAACTTAGATGGAAAGGCAGACAAATTCTATATGAGAAAGATCGGTAGTGAGAAAATTAAAAAGTTTGAATATGACTGTTTAGTGTTTGTTAGCTGTCATCAAAGGGGTTAATTCTCTGAGTGATTTTCATAATAATAATTATTATTTTATTTTAATTTTTTTAATGGACAGGCAGGCAAATTGCCTGTCACATCAAAAGTTCTCCAGCGTGCACCAAAAACGAATCACTTGGTTATGAATGGTCACAAAATGTGATAGGTAAATCCAAAACTAAACCCAAAACTGCCTGTTCACCAATCCATCGACATTAATTTAACTTGGTGAATAGGTTCTTCAGACTGCTTACTACATCACTTCTACATCTTACCCTTTGTAAACAATTGGACCAAAATCCATTTGTGTAATATATAAATGTGGTGAGCCACACATCCCTATGAGTGTTCTGGTCTTCACAACATAATTGCCTGAATAGTAAACAATCACATTCATTGAAAATGGAACAACCAATGCTGACAAAATACAGGTGAAACTCGAAAAATTAGAATATCGTGCAAAGTTCATTTATTTCACTAATGCAACTTAAAAGGTGAAACTAATATGTGAGATAGACTCATTACATGCAAAGCAAGATAATTCAAGCCGTGATTTGTCATAATTGTGATGATTATGGCTTACAGCTCATGAAAACCCCAAGAACCCCAAATCCACAACATCAAAAAAGTAGATTATTACATGCAATCAATAAAACAAGGATTGTACATAGAACAATATCGACCTCTGAAAAGTACAAGCATGCATATGTACTCAGTAATTGGTTTGGGCCCCTTTTGCAGCACTTACTGCAATTACTTTTGCACAATATTCTAATTATTCGAGTTTCACCTGTACATGTCTGACATGTATGGCAAGCGTAATATCTCTAAAGATAGCATTTCATACACAGGGAAGATGGAATGGAATTCTATAGCACATAGAAGTGTAACAGAAATAGAAACAAGAACTTAATATCAAGGACAGCTTTTGTTGTATCAGTAGTGTAAATACAAAAATGTAGGAAAACTTACAACACACTCTCCTCTCACACAAATGCTATGTGGGTCCTTGTAGGAGCAGCGGGTCCCATCATGCGCAAGCTGCTTCATTGATGCAATATCTCCTGTTTGTTTGGACTGGCAGTAGAGTTGGCATCTTTTATTGGCTGTAAGATGAATACAAAGTAGTAAAAAATACATAAAAGTACTAGCATGGGGGCTTTTAAAGCCTGGACAGTGTCATGAAGTTCAGCCTGACATTGGGCTAACATTTCTGCCCTGGAAAAAGAGAATAGGTGCAAATAATAACTAAGGCTAATATATCATTATAACAACAAGAATAGTGGTAAAACATTTACTGAGAGATTGATCTTTAGTAGAATCTTGACAACACTACCGTATCAAGTGATCACTAACTGGAACCCTCCTGTACATGTACAGCCCTCCCTTCATTATATTCAAAGGCTGAGCACTGCAACAATGGAGTGCACTTAATCTACTCCCTGCAAACAGGAGCCCTAGCAAATCTCCATGTCTTAGTTCCGGTCTCCTTGCTGCATTATTGCAGTGTTGCATAAATAGAAGGGTAACAAATGATTACTTTACAGTGTGCCTTTCATATTCTTTATAGTTTGAGAGGAGTACACTTTGATCAAAATTATTCATTTGCATGCTTTTTGAAGGCACTGTACGTGTGCATTATTAACACATCCATACTGACACAGTTCCTGAGGATTCAGAAGTAGTATGTTGCAGTGTCCATGAAGGGGACTAGAAATATAACATGATGGTCATGGCTATTTTAGTATAGTTAATACTTCCTATTTGTTGGAAGGATATGTTCAGTTCTTTTTAAAGCAACCCTATGTGTTTTCCCATTTATAGCAAAACAGCAAGTTCTTTTTAATGGCAGAGAAGTGGAGGAAAGGTAAGTATGTAAGGGCTGCATTAAAGTGGACCTCTTCCTTGCAAAACACTGGTTTACTATAATGTAATCCCATGCTACCGTAGTCCAGAGCAATGCACAGGTTCACTTTATGCTTGGCAACACAGAAAAAAGTTCTCCAGTCTAATAAAGGATAGCATTAAAGGTTCAGCTAAAAGGGCCCACCTTTTACCTGCCAGATTTTATGTTGTTTTTTTTTTAATTTACCAAATAAATACATTTAAAGTGCAGAAAAATACCTGTGTATATTCCTGAAAATGCACTCAGCTCTTCGGTTGCTGCTGTAGACTGGCAACACACAGCATTTTTTTAAAGTGAAACTGAAGGAGTGGTGTCAGCACTGCCCTGTTGTCTTTTGTTAAACTAAGTAAACCCGACCCCTCTTCACAACATAGTGACTAAGGGGTCTATTCACGAAGCTGCCGAAGGATCTGGCCGTAGATTCGGCCGATCCTTCGGCTAGCTTCGGCCCCAGGACCACTTCGGTTCAGTAGAACCGAAGGGGTGCTGTACGAGCTATTCACAATAGCCCGTACAGCTCCCGCTCATGGCCGACCGACTCAGCTGAGCCGAACGCATATGCATCGGCTCGGCTGAGCCGTGCTGAACGCCGAAGCTGGCCGAGCGGCCGTCCATTGGCTGGCCGACAGCCTGCTTCTGACAGCTGGGCGGAGCCAGGCATGATCTTACGGCTGGCTCCGGCCACTTGCAGAGAGATCAGCGTCCCTGGTTACCTGCTAACCAGGGACACTGATCTCCAAACAGCTAACTCTCCCTGGCGCCCCGGGAGTCTCCTGCTCCCGGCCGCCAAGGAGAGAAACACTGCTGTGTCTTTTTTTTCTTTATTCTGACACGGAGCGATGTCAGAATAGAGAAAAAAAAAAATTCCCATTCAAAAGCATTGGGACATTACTATTGGCTATTTCAATTTGCAATAGCCAATAGTAAACTAGCATTGTACCCGCCCTCTGCTGATGGACCTGATGGGGAACTGCAGCAGAGGGCGGGTACAATGCTAGTTTACTATTGGCTATTGCAAATTGAAATAGCCAATAGTAATGTCCCAATGCTTTTCAATGGGACATTTCTCTTTTTTTATTTTTTTTATTCTGACATCGATCGTGTCAGACTAAAGAAAAAAAGACACATCAGTGCTTCTCTCCTTGGCGGCCGGGAGCGGGAGGCTCCCAGAGCGCCGGGAGAGTTTTTTCTTCTTTTTTTTTTTTACAGCAGAAGAGCTGCCGGACAATAGGAAACTATTGGGCGGAGCTAGCTGTCACTGCTAGCTTCGCACAATCGTTTTCTATTTACTTTTTTTTACTTTATTCACTCTTTTTCTGTTCTGCTTGGTCCCTCCGAGGGACCGAGCAGAACAGCCGAGCCGAATGCCGCTCAGTGGCATTCGGCTATTCACTCACTGCTGTTCGGCATCTTTAAGAATAGCCCGGACAGCAGTGAGTAGCCTGCCGTAGGTTCGGCTCAGCCGATCCAGATGTTGGATCGGCTGAGTCGAACTCCTTCTGCACTTCGATGTACGGCTGATCTCAGCCGATATACGGCTGATTTCAGCCGTACCAGCCTGAAGTGAATAGCCGAACAGTGCTTGGCTCACTTCACTTCAGATCGGTCATTCACTCGGCTGCCCTCGGCAGCTTAGTGAATAGACCCCTAATTGTTTAGTAGCAGCACAGTGGCGTAGTGGTTAGCACTTTTCACTTGCAGCACTAGGGGTCCCCGGATCAAATCCTGGTCAGGATACTAGCGACAAGGAGTTTGTATATTCTCCCTGTGCTTGCATGGGTTTCCTTCAGGTACTCTGGTTTCCTCCCACTCTCCAAAGACATACTGGTAGGTTAATTGGCTCCTGTCTAAATCAGTCCTGGTATGTATGCATTTGGGGTAGGGACCTTAGATTGTAGGCTCATTGAGGGCAGGGACTGATGTAAAGTGCTGTGTAAATTGTTGGCACTATATAAATACCTATAATAAATAGTCATCTATGAAAAGAACTGGAACTGAGATAACACTGGAATTGTAAACAGGACACCATATCCTGAATTCCGGACAGGTATTTTTTGCATTTATCAAACAGCTATTACAAAACACGCTCAATGGTATATTTACCAGACCAAAAGGAAGCAAATAAGAGGGTTTGATTGTTAGCGTTTACATAAGCTTTAACTTTTTTTACTGGGAAAAAAACAATAAAGCTGTCTGTGCTGTATTACCACTTGTAAAGTTCCACAAAATATGCTGCTAAAAATGTTAAAGCTCGTATTGGTAGAGATATTAGACATGTACCCTTAAGGTGCCCACACACCTTGCGATAATCGTACGATAATCGCAGGAATTTTTTTCGCATTTAATTTTTATTGAAAGTTTTCCAACATTAGAAAACAGGCAGATTTGCCGCAAGTATTACAAGTTCACAGTAATGAGAAACCGCAGAGGTGCTATGCAGGTAAACGTCAACAAAATAGTAGGTATAGCTACAAGCATCACATTCACTATCGAAACCGTAGAGCAACATGCACGTAAATAAATCTGACTGCAAGGGGTAAGAAGAGCATAGCATGGGTTAGTCTAGTTAATATCTCATAGGGGAACGTCAAAGGACAACTAGAGGTCCCAGGGATGTAATTAACTTCGCCTTGTGGTATCACTCTGTAGCCTTGAAAAGAGACACCACCTCTTTGAGTTGGCCACAACTGTTTATAGTTGTACGGCACCTGACAGGTGGGCCATGGCTCTCAAAGTGCACTGTGCCGTGATTGGGCAAAGTCTTGCACCTGACCTGGGATTAGGGCTTTACAAGGAATCGCAGAACACATGAACTAGCGATGTTCAAGCCGAACTCTTGGTCGACTCGAACATCGAGCCCAACACTACTCATGACAAAATATGCATAATCTCCTAAGCAAGTGTCCTGGCTATTGTCGCATCTGTATCCACTAAGTACTGTCCTACAGTGCCAATACAGTACAGCATCAGAATGGAAAAATACTGGATTTTCAACTAAACAGGAATCATAGCACTCAAAACTGATATTTCAGTAACTAGTGTAACTGAGCAGGTTGAATAATGCACACGTTTATTATAACTCTTAAAGAACCTTGCACTGGGGTTACCCCCACACTGCACATGTTAAGTGCTTGTGTAATAAAAAAATAATAAAACATTTTTGGTTAATAAAAATTTTGCCGGGAGTTCTTCTTTAAAGACTCCAGTGGTACATTTCCTCTCTGTATTTCCAAGCTTGCCCCCTATCTTGGAGTCTCACTTAAAATAACACAATGATCATGATCGCCTAATACTGGATGTTACTGTCTTTTATAACAGGAATATACAGTACAAGGACCTTCCACCCAGGGTCCCCTAGACAGAATCTCAGATTTGGACTGATTCTTTCATGTAATCATCATAATAAATCTGGATAAAAAGCTCTGTTTCAAATAGCATGGAAAAAACGGCACAGTTGGATTTTTTTCCAAATTCTGCAAATCATTAACTCAATAAATAAGACAAATAATACGTAACTACTTTGTAGTTAATAAGTAGTCATTTAGTTATACTCCCAAAAAATGGATAGTAAGATAAACTCAGCTATGTAAAAAGGTTAACCCCCCTCCATTCTCGCATTATAATCCATTTGTTATACCAACTTAGCTTTGTTTTACTTCTAAGTCTATGGTATGTTTAAACAAATATTATGATAACTTAAGTTTCCAGACAAATTCCCTGACCTGTTTTAACTATTTGGGTAGATTTCTCATGCAGGGAGCAGCGTTTAAATCACAAAATAGGAAGCACTTAAATCACAGGAAGACACAATATATCACAAAATTGTCTCCGCCTTTTGGTTTACAGTTGTTATACTTGAAAGTTGCTCAAACTGTTAAAGTTTATGCATAGCCAAAACTTTTTTTTTTCATTTTGGATAGAGTAGGGAAGGATTAAACCGCCATCAGATTTTTTTTTGTTTGTTGTTGTTGTTTGTTTTCTGCTGTAAAGATTTCACTTTGCTTCCTGTTTTGGAGATGCAACAGGAAATGAGAGGAAATCTCCCCAAAGAGAGGGAAAATACCTTCACCCTCACCTCATACTCAGGTTACAGCTATAAAATGTTGGATTTCCAATCCCTTTCTCTTTTGGTAGCAATGTTCACCATGCCAAATAGAGGGGTGGATCTCCCCAGCAGGACACAGTAGAAGCATAGACAGCAAAAAACAAACAAACAAAAAAAAAACTTTAAATCCGCCAACCTGTCTAAACCTAAAAAATGTTTTACCTTTACATACATGTAAAATGTATATAAAATAGCATTAAAACACGTGTTTAATATTAATCATGTGAATAGCTGTTTGTTTTATGAAGATTAACTACTAAATCGAACAGAGCTTTACATTTAATTGATTGATTACAGGCTACCAGAAGCAAATTAAAATAGATGCATAATGTTGTGCCAGCTGGTAATCCTTATTCTGTGTATATTATAAAGAATAGCTTGGATCTGCACTACTATCTGATAATCTCACTAGGCAGTAGAGGCTGTAAGACTGAACTGCTGAATAGAGCATTGTTTAAAAAGAACTGATCATGGTTTGACTTATGCAAGAATCTAAATATGCGGTCTCAAATTATCATAAATATGCTGGTTTACCTACAAAAATTCTATATTTGACATAGTGTAACTTACTTTGTGAAAAGATCCTGGAAGTTATACTTGAGGTGTTGCCATTTCCACCTTTGTCAGTAATTAGCATTTATTGTGGTAACGTAGAGATGTGGAGGTGCAGTGATGATGAATATATGTGCACATTTTCATCACTCACATTGCAGGTTTTCTTCATTTTTTATGAGCTTTTTATTAAGCCTGAATCCTACAAATTGAACATTTTCTCCACCAGAAACTCAGTCTGAGACCGGGGTCAGATTGTAAAGCAGGCTGTAAACAGCTGATCCCCTCCCTATGGTTCTGTATAACATGATCACTAAACACCAGCTCTGCCTTTACACACAATACACTGTCCGGGGGAGTTGCCACTATAAATACTATATAAATAGGAGGTCACTTGTAATATACACACATTGTTTGCAAAACACAGAGGCGGCCATTTCCATGAGGATATGAATAGTAAATCTAAGAAAAAATGTACGTTGCTGTATTCATATATAGCAACTGAGTGTGCCTGCTTCATGGACACTTTGTGATTTTTTTAAAAATACATCCACAGAAGTGGAAAGGGGCTTTGAAGGCTGACAGTTGCTGCTCTGCAAACTGACCACATGCTGATAAAATGCTCTGAGGGCGGTAAAGGAGTTGCAACACTTTTCTGCCATTATGGTCATATCAGAAAGTCCTGCAGTAAATTCAAGAAAGCTGCACAACCTTTTCCAAAGTGTGCAGCAAATTCAGTTAGTTTTTATGTGTGACACTTTAACATTTTGGTGCAATGGCTGCAACAAATTCATTAAGAAATACCGCCATATTGTTAGTATGCCTTAAGGCAGTTGACATGGCAGCAATGGTCAGACCTCAAGTAACCTCTCATCTCTGACCTCCAGCTGCATGAGTCTTCCTTAAACAATCTAAAAAAGTAAAAATAATATTTCATAGGTAAGTCTGCAAAATGACAATGATTTCAAGCCCATTTCCACCTTTGTGGAGGTATTTTTTTAAAAACATAAGCCAGCAATGTATACTGAGTGTACATGAAGCAGGCAGATGCAGTTGCTAAATGTGAACACATTACATACTTTTTTCTTTGTTCTCTTCATCTCCTTATGGCTACTTTTGAAATGGACATCTCTGTGCTTTGCAAGTAGTCAGTGTAAATTAACACTCTCTCTCTCTGAGCTCTCTCCCCTTATTTATTAGTACTCATATTGGCAACCCCACTGGATAGTGTATTGTGACCTGGAAAGGCAGAACTGTGTGCAGTGATCTTGTTACAATGACTCAAAGGGAGAGGGTCAGCTGCTTTATAATCCAACCCCAGTGTCAGACTGTTTCAGGTGGAGAAAAGTTTCAATTTGTAGGACTCAGGCTTACTAAAAGGACTAGGGTTGAACAGATACCAAGTACAGTACTCGGTACAAGTACGAGTACATGTACCGATACTTTTGAGCTCCAAGACTAGACTAAAGAAAAAGTAAAAAGGTAGGAGGCAGCTGTCATTTGTAAGGAGCACGCGGAGCTCCTGGGATTTGTACATCTCTGTTTTAATGTACGATTTTGTTTTTATAAATATAAATAAAGGGATGCACAGATACCAGTTTTGCGAGTACGAGTACTGGTACTTGCCGAGTACTTACAAGTACGAGTACTGATACATTTTTGTTTATTGTCATGTGACAGTTTTTCTAAAACAATATCGACTAATGATTTCCGGACAGTGGTGGAGTGCCAGAACCAGGTCCCAGCTGCAACTACTGCAACCCTGGTAGTTCTCATGAAAATGCCAAGTATCTGCACTGGTACTTGAAAAGTATCTGTGCATCCCTAAAAAGGACCATAAAAAAATTAAGAAAGCCAGGAATGTGAGTCACAAAAATGTACACACATACACATCACTGCACCTCTACATTACCACAATAAATGCTAATCACTTACAAAGGTCAAAATGGGCTTTAAGACTCAATGGTAAGATTCTTACATAAGCCTAGTTGTGACTAGTTTCCATTAATTACATACTGAGAAGAAGCCACACCCTTTATAGTGTGGGCCATGGATACAGAGCCTCTCTGGGCCCCAAACAATAATATGAAAAGCTTGGTCACTTTTATGAAACAAAAATAGCATTTATTTGCCAAATTTGTGGACTGAGCCATTCATGACATTTTTGGACTGAGTACACCATGACAGCTAATACCCAGCAAAAAGGGTACTACAGTTTCACAGATATGGCTGCTTTGTTGCTACATGCCCAGACAACAGTAGAAACAGTTTTATCACATCTGTCCTGGACACTGCAATAGAAAGTCGTTGATTCCTCAAGCTGCAATAACATTTAAGGCACTCTAAAGAATATGTAGGGCATGCTAAAGTGGATTTATTGTCAGCATTTACATACTTTTAGTATGCCTTACGCACTATTTAGCATGCCTTAACTTTCACTGTGGCTGAAGGAATCAGGACCAAATAAATTAGCTGATGCCATGCAGGATGAATAGTATGAATTGGTACTGTAATGGAGTGAGTGTGGTTACACCTCCCTCTTGGTTACCATTATAATTTACTTGAAAAATATTTGTTCTCCACAATGTATACAACTACTGCTGTTAATACAGTCTAATGTTCTCAAAAATAAAACATTTACTTACAATCAGGATGTTCATACGGAAGCCAATTATGTTTTAAATTCTGAAATTCAAAGTGGGAGTTCTTCTGCTGACATTGCTGTGCTCTGAAGTCTTCGAAGTGCTTAGGACATTCTTCAGTGTTACACAACTGATACTCATAATTCAATCCAACACAGTCTTGGCCCCCATTCACTGGCCTAAGAAAAACAAAGGACATGATCAGAGATATATTGTGCTACAACAATAACAATTGCAAAAGTTAAGAATGCAGCAACATTTTTGTGTAAATACTTTTCTTGAAATATCATTTTCACATAATTACATTAATATTAGGAAAGTTTCACTGTAACCAAAAGTTGATCCTCTTTTAAACTACATTCTAGTGTAGTTGACATTAGCTTGGAGAATTTGGGAAATTAAGATCTAAGTATACTTCTAGAGCCCAAGTGTAAAACCTGTGTATTCTGACACTAAATGGGACCCCATGATAATTTCCATTTATTGATAAAAATGATAATTCAAAAGGCTCCTATTCAGTAAGGTTTCCAATGGCTCAAAACAATGACACACTGACCTTTGGAGTCACAGGAATACTAAAGGCCAAACATTTAAAAAAAAATTTAAACTGAAATGCTCCAGAGTTGCAGCAGCAGAGAGGTCAATTGCATCTTGTTTTAAAGCTTATTTAATGCTGTAACTGTTTTATCTGAAAAATGACAGCTTCATGTCTCATTCTGATCCCCTGTTTCCAGTGCTTTCCGAGTTACTAATGTGGAACAGGTAAGCAAATCAGGAGTTGTGACTTCACTCTAAAGCTAGCAATACACTTGTAGATTTATTTTCTTTAGGACTGCAGGCTGAACAAAATAAATCACTCAATTCCTACATCCACTCTAAACAGAGTGGATGGAGAAATCCCATCTGCTGGCTGTTATATTTAGACAGCTGACACCCAACTGCATGAATACCTGAACCTTGACTGCATATGATGGGATGTTTTTGCTGCCCAGCTGACAATTTTCTGCCCTCCTCCTTCCATTTTTCAATCAAAACTTGTCCAGGCAGATGCTGCTATGGCAGATTCAAGCCATAGGGTCAGGTATGGCTTGAATTTCAGCAGCTCTAGCAGACATTGGCTGAAAATCAAGCTGTTAATATCTAGCTATATCTGGCCTTAGTTTTCTGGATGCATTCCTGTTCATGGTTAATGTCAAAGAGAAAAAACAGACAGACAGTAGACAATAGACAGTAAGGTAACTAACATTTTCAAAAGCAGGTCAACAATGTCACTTAGAATAGAGATTCCAGCAATAAATACCCGCACAAATGCTGCCTTTCTTCTATAACAGCATAGGGTACAGGAATTTTGGAAATACCGTTTACCTCGACACTGAATGAAAAGTGCACGGCAAACCGGTCACTTTAGTATTTTGTTTTTGTTTCAGTATTTCAGTTTATTTTTTAGCACAACGTTAGTGTGCACATTCTGTGGTTTACCTTACAGGAACAAGGGCACAAGACAACATTATCTGGATATTCAACACCATACATTGAACAACACTCAGCTTGATAGGTTCGTTGATGCTTGGACATCCTCACATATCGTGGCCCTTAATCTAAGTGTACCCTAATGGTATATTTTTTTAATTTTTTTTTGCTTTAGTAAATCAATCCCAATATGTAAAAAGATCATGAGGATCTTTACTAAACTGACAATTTATGCACTTGATGAAAACTGTGCATGTGAAAGCTTATGGGAAATGTGGCAGCCACATCTATTTTTAGTTCTGCTGTAGTAACATGCACACATTGGGGTAGTTAGAGACCTAAGTTTGTTTATCAAATACTTATTAAAACTTAATTATATACGCTTACCTTCAATGTCTGCAAATAGATGTATTAATTTAAGCCAGAGATATCGGCTTCATACTAATTAATAGCTCTTAATGGATTTACATATTTAATGTGTGTATTTTCAGGCTAATTTAATTCATACTTCATGAATCTGTGCATTTCTCAATGCGAGCTAAACTATATGCGGATTAATGTATTGGTTAATTTTATACCTCAAATAAAATTGCTTTTGCTTGCAAACTGAATGAGCTGCATTTAGATAGTGACACAAGATAGAGGTGAAACCTATTAGTTCAGTTGGAATAGGATTAGCAAGAATAAAGTAATTGAAACACTAAAAACCCAAAGTGTATATGCACGTCATTACATTAAGTAGTTAAAATTGGTACAGGATGTCACATTATGGAAATAGCAGTATATGCAAGACCAGAATATGAAATACAAAAACAGTACTACTTTTGGCCAAATTTTGGAGTGCTGAACCTCTTAAAAAAGGTTTCTAAGCTAACTGAAAATCAACCCTCTCTGGAAACCATTCCATTAATGGACACAGGTATCAGATGTAAGCAATGGGAATGTAACAAAAAAGAGAAAAACTGAACTATAGAAGAAACCTTAGAAAACATGTTGCTGACAAGGTTTAAATGTGAAAGAGACCCTTACATAATTGAACATGGGAATCAAGTGTAACCAATAAAAATGGTACACAAAAAGAAGATACTCTAATCCATGAAAACATGCTTAGAAAACATGTTGATGTCAAGATTTACATTTGACAGATACTCTTCCATAATTGAGCAACAGGGTCATGTGTAATAAATAGGAATTGCTACAATAAAAGGGGAAAAGGTGAACCATAAAATCATTCTTATAAAAGTTATGTAGGTCATGCTTTAAATTCAGATATATCCTTACATTGGACTATTGCACTGTCGTGTTCTAAATCGGACACCAATCCCACAAGTTCTTGAACAGGATCCAAATTTTGACCATGCTCCCCAGTTGCCATCTTGTTTGACTTGGTTAGTGGTTCTCCACATACAGTGACCCTTGTAGCACCACTAGAAGGGAACATTACAATAATAATTCAGTATGATTATATAATATACAGATATGAAAACATCATAAGGGGGCCCTTCAAGTGGAAGTGTTGATTTTCTGGCAAAATTGCAGTACTCATATATGTTTGTTTAGGAGTCTCAGATTTCTGCAGTAGACCAGTACACCAAATACAGTTTGCCAGCTTGTGGTGAGCTGTCAAGGTACAAGGTAGAGACAAGGTTACTTCAAAGTTAAATGTGAATTTTAATATGCTCTCTGCCTATGCTGTAATGCAAGCTTGTGAAAACAAAACTCTTCCAATTTGTGTGGTCTTGTGTCCAGACTTGTACAGTCTTTACTAGGTGCTGGTATACCCCAGTGAGAGTGTTTCAATATTCTAGAAAACAGAGCATAGTCCAAAGTGTGCCAGGTACCATGAGTGATATAAAGCATGGATGTGCTGTACCATTTACATGTAAACTGTAAAATGAAAGTCTGCAAAAACAATAATTTCAAACAGTTACCAGCTTCGCTTTAGCCAATACGGGAACCCATGTAAAAGTACTAATAAAAATGTAAGATGTCATAATTAATCCTTGTAAAAATATGAATATCTATATAATTAATAGCAATAAAAATACCATCTAATATTGGCAGGAAACATCTCTAATAAAGCAGCAGGAGTCTGTATTTGGCAGGTAAGATGTGCAGCTAAAGCCACCATTAATAAGTCATTTCAGTTAAAGGTTTGTTATTTTAGGATGGCATCTGCAAAGTGATTGCTTATGTGGAATGACACTGGCAGCAGCCGAGCCAAATAGGAATACATTTTAACATTGTTACTGGAATGCAAAGCACTATATATAATCTGGCCTGCTATTAAAGTATGCTTATATTTGTCTTGCCGCCAGTGGCTGTGAATGGGATTTAGTGACTGGGCAAAGGTGGACAAGTGGACTCTGTATCAAGTATTTCTATTTCCAAATGAAATATTAGTGATGTTAAAATGATAATTTGCATGTATAATTAATAGTAATATGGATCTTTTTTCAGGAATTATAAATAATTAATCAAATTAAAACTAAAATAAATAAAATTAAAACAGCTAATTAAACAGTTTTATTTAAAACAAGGTAATGAATTTAAAGTTTGGTGCAGCAGAGCAGAATGATTTTGGCAAGTAAACTTTGCTTGCAAAAAAAACTATTTCCTGGCTTAAAGTCAATTCCAGCATGGGAATATTAACTAAACATGGATTCCCCTTTGGCTCAAAATAATAAAAAAAAAACAGCTCCAGTTGCTATACTCACCTCATGGTATGTGTCTGTGGAGAAGACTGGCACCCCATTTCATTCAACCCACTTTTTGTGAAGTCCAGGGTGTCAAAGCTTCGTTCTCCTCCATGGACTCACAAGAGAATGTATCTCGGCAGTTAAGCACTAAGGCATTGTTGTCCTCTTCTTAAAATGCTAGTTGCCTATTTTGCTCATCTTTTTGCTCCAGTGCTGCCAATGACTGACCCGGAACAAATATTCAAATATGAACTTCTGGCTTTTCTACATCTTACCTGATCTGTATACTTGTTTTCAGTTCATATAAAGTCATTGACATTCAATCTAGTGGATCAACATAGCAGCCTGTCAGCTAACAGTTTATAAGGAGGTCAGCAGTGGCAGCTCCTCAAGGTTTATTTTAAATCCTGCTTAGTCACCTCAGCAAAGTGCTAAGAAAAAATGCAGTGAGTAATGCAGTGAGTAAATGCAGTAATGTAAATTCTTACTCACAGCAGTGAGTAAGAATTTACATTATTGAGGATGCACCAGTCCAATTCTGCTTAGGCAAACGTTGCTTGAAAAAAGCTTTGTTTCTGGTAGTGATTTTTGTATCTGTGTATTGGATCCTATTTGTGTACTGCTGTTTTATATTTTTTTACTTGTTTGCTATTTTTCAATTTTACTCATCCCTATCCAATATTTTAATTGAGTAGAGTACTTGCAATTAGCACTCTGCTCCTTACACTGTTTTATTACTGTTTTATATGTCTGACACACGAACAGATGAGACACAGGCCAAAAAAGTAAAGCACAAACTTCACCTCTTCTGTTAGTTCATATTTATGAAGCTTCTCCTTTAGTGTAAAATGGGAAGACCATTCTGTCCATAAGAATTGTCTAGTGTTGAGAGCTCCCATGTGCTAAGCTATGGAAGCCTTCATATTTCTCTCAAGACAGATTTGCTTGATGTATGAAAAGAAGAAGAGTACCCAGCACTCCAATAAAGATGAAACAATTAGTGTGATTTTCTTTTCATAACATCACATAAGTCATACAGCTGGCTATGCCTCTGACTGTCTTTAATAGAATGCTGGTGATTCTTCATCTTTTTGTATTGTGATAATGGACAGCATTATTCCCTGTTGTCACAGCACCACCTTGCTACATTATTCACACTGCATCCTTGAACTGTATCACTCAAAGGTTTCCTTAAAGGAGAAGCTTCAGCAAAACTATTAATGTTTTGAAAAAAGGGTAATATGATCATTTGAGTGAAATGATGGTTACCTTTTGTAACCTTGCTGTTTAGCTCCATCATTGTAATGTTCCTTCCATGATTTCTCATCTCTGTTGTCCTTCTTGTGTAATGTCAATTGATTCCTTGGTAAAGTCAGTAAAGCTGACGCTAATTTCTAAAGATAGCATAATAATTTATGCAAATAACACACAATAATTTATGCAACAACTGCTGGTGCTCAACTGTTTAATCAGTGCATATTACTTCGATATAAACAGTGACATTACAAAGGTTGCATTTCATTCTCACATAAACAAATGTTAACTTACTTTTCCAGGAGCACATTCTGTCCCATCAAGAGGAGGACCTTTCTTGGTCTTACAAAAATATGGGTTATCAGGATGGCTGCACCACAATTGTTTGCAGGGGTCAAATGTACGGAACTGAAAAAAAAATTATATATATGTATATCATTAAAGGAGAACTAACTTTTTTTGCATTTTTAGTTTCCCTATGATACAGGAATACATTCTGCAGTGTACCAATCAAAAGATTTTTGTATCAACAATGCACCATAAGCTTACAATTCAGTGTAATATTCTGTGGGCGGGGCTCTGTGCTAAGAAACAATCTCGACAATACTTTCTGGATCCTCCTCTTCCATTGAGTGACAGCAGCCTGTAGGAACTGCTGCGAGTTCATGAGAACCTGTAGAGCACAGCAGCTCAGGTAACATCCTATAACACTTGCACATCCATCCATCAGTTTGTCTTTCAGCTCTCTCCAGACAATACACTTAGAACGTTAGCACTAAGAGACGGCAGTTCAGCTTTGTCCTTGCCCCGCCCCCTCTCCTTCTCTCTGTTGTCTTCATCACTTCTTCTCCCTGTCTATGTCCCAAGACAGCAGAGGGGAGTAGGGCTTAGTGAACTGATGGTCTTAGTGCCAATGTGGTATGTGTATTGTCAAGAGATAACAGTGTGGAAGAGACAGGAGGGAGAATGAAAGACAAACTGCGGGATGGATGTGCAATTGTTCGTAGACCTGTGACCTGACATGAATAAACCCTGATAGGATGTGCCCTGAGCATCTGCATAGCTTCTCATGAATGTGCAGCAGCTCCTACAATCTGTTGACACTCAATGGAAAAGGAGGAGGATCCCAACAATATTGTCAGGATTGTAAGCGTAGCTTACAATTCAGTGTAATATACTGTGGGCTTCACAGCATATTACACTGAAATGTAAGCTTATGGTGCATTTTTGATTACAGAGCACATTGCAAAATGTATTCCTATATCATAAGGAAACTAAAAATGCAAAAAAAGGTGTACCCCATAGTTCTCCTTTAACTCTAAACAATTTAGACAGCTTTTAAGAAACTAAAAACGAGCAAACATTAAAGAAATACAATTATAAACTACGCATGTAACATATGTATAGCGTACAGCTGTGCACATTTTGTAGCCCACACCAAAGTCAAAGCGGCACTGTTCATCCATGGAATAGTTAATTCCGGGCAGGTCTGGAAGTTTTGGCCAGTCGTGCTCAAACGGGTCATCGAGAAGACAATCGTATAAACTGAAAAACATAAAAATATGTGTGACAGTGATTTTTTTATTTATTACCTGCTGAAACTATGTCATGCCCACAAATTAATCAGACTCATATTAGGCATGATTGTATGTAAAATATATAACTATGTTCAGCCACACAGTTTTGTGATTTAGGCACTGCTGCCACAATTTAAAACCCAAAATATAACACCCCTATTCCCTCTGTGCCATGATCCTGCTCACTAGACAGTGAATCCCAGGAAGTGGTATACCTGAATTAGGAAGCAGTACAGTGATCTTCCTACACATACAGTGTGGCAGACCTGTTTGGATCACAAGACTGACTAAATAATACTACAAATTGTTTGGCAGTTTAACCAGTAGACATGTGTGTATTGAAAATGGGTGTTAGGTTGTTTACCTAAAGATACATTTTAACAATGGAAATTTATTTTTCTAGAAACCTTCCTATTGGTAACTCAGGGACCTCTTAATCCCATAATCCATCTGCATACAGAAACAGGGGGCAAGGGGCCACCCCTCCCCCCCTAATGTTTGCAGTGCTTTGCAAACTGAAATCTGCTTTCAAAATTACAGACACCCCAAAAGTAAATTGATTTTTTTATGGTGGTTCTGCAGTACAAAAAGTATCCAGCAAACATCAAAAAAGGTGAGATCTGGAAACTAAAGGCTTAAATTCTTGTAATACTGGGCAATATGTACATGAAGAAAGGGCTGTGGAAATATGAGGAATGTTGTAAAGGGTTGGAGGATGAGAAAAAATGATTGTTCTGAAGAGGGGATGAGAAAGAATGAGGAGTGTTTTAAAGGGGTCATGAACAGTAAAATTTAAGTATGCTAAGCATTGTGAGCTAAGCAGACAAAACAGGTGCATAAACAAAGCCCTTGCAATAACTCTAAATTGGTATAAAAGGTAAACATCAGCTTACTGTATATGTCTCTTCAGCTCTTGACCACTGCATCTTGACCAGTGGTAACGATGGAATGCTGCTTGCACCAGAGGAGCCATAACACTGCCCATGCTTGTTTCATCTCCACACCGATTTCCTTGGCCATCATGCTCCATTCCTAGACTGGATGTATAAACATACATTGCTCGAAGAAGCTTATTGGTATTTTGTTGAAATCCATCAGTAAAGTAGGTGTAGAAAAATATTACTATATCACAATAAGGTCTCGTAAAATTGTAGTGGGGAAGACTGTTGCAGCTCTTGACATAATGTGCAAGTATTTACAGCATACTTGCACATTACGGCAGAGTTAACCTCTGGATTTGCCCTCGACTAGCTCTGACTGCCCTATACTTCCCATTGCCACTCTGTTTTTTTTGTGGCACAAGAGGCATACAAAATCTCTTCAACCTTAAAAAACCTACCTGGAAGTTTTGTTGTTCCCAATTAAGTTCCCCTTTAATATTAATGCTAACTCCAATGTCAATCTATAAACCCATGAAAATGACTGATCAATCAGTTTACTGTAGTAAAACTAGTGAAAATTGATTTGTATAGTAATAGTAGGTTACTACAAAGCTACCGTATGCTGCTGACATAAGACATATGGCTGCTAACAGTTCTCAAGAGAATGTATAATGACCCCTTTAGCTTTTGAGAAAGGGAGCCCAGTCATAGAAGCTTGCAAGCCCCTTTAAAATGCCATGTACCCATCTCCCCGCTCCGATCTGCCAGCGCTGACTGGCAGAATGGATGGGGGAGGGGGCAGGTACAGCTGGCTCTGCCTCTAGATAGGCAGAGCCAGCTGTCACTCACGCAGCTGGGCGGATCCCGACGTCCAGGTCGGGATCCGCTCCGGCTGCGGCGTCTCAATATACCGCGAGCTGTAGCTCGCGGTACACTGAGCTTAGGGTAACGGGAGGACGCTAGTTTGTGTCCTCCCGTTACCCTAAGGAGAACTATGGGGAAAAACACTGACCCCATAGTTCTCCTTTAAAGCAAGGACAGGCGTTTAGGTTATCAGTGACGGTCTATCAGTGACTAGCAAAGGGTTTGGTTTTTCGATGGTTAAAACGTATGCAGAACTGCACTACCTTCTTTCCTTGTCATTTGTGAGTGAAGGTTTCTGTGATTATTATGTTGAATGCATACGATTCTTAGCATTAGAGCTTTAGAGGGCATGCAAGTGAGGACTGTAACTTTGATATCTAATATATTTACTAAAGGCTTAGGAGAATCAATAAATTATTAATCCAAACTAGGGTACTCCTCCTACTATAATCAAATGAACAGAAGAGGCTTGCATATCAGTATTAGCCACATTTTCAATTACAGTTTTACTTACACATGGCCAGTTTCATGGGCAACCACAAAGGCAGAAGAAAAACCATCTTCATGGTTTAGTGTGCAGCTTCTTACAGGATGACACATTCCAGTCACTGGAGCATAGCCTTGTACAACAAACACAAGATAGTAAAAAGTGTCTTCATTCCTTTGAATATCATATATAATACAATGATATGAAATATGAATACAGCATTTCCAAATCCATCCAGCCCGCCATAGCAAAGGTTTCCATGCAGTGACTACTTTTCCATACAAACAACTGGTTTAATGCCCTGAGGTTACCCTCAACAAAGTATAGAATTGGAGGTGGCTCAGATCCTCCTCCTTTCTTAAGCTGAAAACATGAATGGCCTCCTTTGTTGCATATGGACTAAAGAAACAACCTCCTCCCCCACAATCTACATATATTGGCTATTGTCGCTTTGTCCCATTACCTTGCATTCCAGCAGGGCCAAAATCTTGTCTTGTCAAAAAAATGGCGTGATCATGGTGTTCAGAATGATTTGGATCAGATTTTTGCTGCTGGAATGCCCATCGGCACACACTGTCAAGACTTCTTGATGGATTTCCTCTTTCAATCAAACTGATAGACTACAAAAAAATACCAGAAAAAGAAGCGAGATGGTACACTAAGATGTGAATGTTACATCTTGATTTAAAAATCAATATGGTAGTAATCATAATAATAGTATTATACATTTAAATTAAATTCCTTTATTGATATTTTTCTCTGCATTTACATGCAGACCAAGCTGTCCAGCAAAAGTGACACTACCATGGGTGGGACAAACCACATAACATTTCCAGGGGTGCTTAAAGTGGTCAGCTATTAGACATGCAGTTTAAATGTACATTTTAACATAAATTATGCTACAATTGCTTAAACACCGCTGGCAGTTGTAAATTTTGTCCCAACGTATCATCACTTTTGCTGGACAGTTTGGTCTGCATGTAAAGGTGGAGAACAATATAAACCAAGCTATGGGACATAAAAATGCAATTTATATTCCATTCGGCAGGGGGTGACATTACCTTGCTTCCTACAAGAGCCCGGAATGCAGAGCAGCCCAAATCTCGTGTGATGAGCACAGTGCATTCCCTAGGATCTTGTCGTAAGCATAGTGACAACACCCTCCCCTAGCACACCGAGGAGGATAAGGTAAGCATGTTAACTAACTTTTTCTCCCACAGGTGTTTTTCGTCATTTTTCAATGGGGGGGGCACATTAAATAATTGGATCTTGCAATTTTAGGGCAACGATTGCTTCAAGGTCAGATCAGACAAGTTCTAACTTTACCAAAAGCCCCTGGATGAACTTTCTCAGGGAAAGAACCAATATGCCTGGTTGGGATTTTCTAGCCAATGTAGCCAATGTATATTGTTTACCTTGCCTCCTACAGACAAGTTGCACAGTGGGAATATTCATGCTGCTATGCTTCCTTTATATCTAGATATCTAAACATGCACATTTGGTGATCTGAACATGCATGCTAATGAAAAAAAAGGTTTCACATAAAAAGATCTTTCATTGGTCAAATTGTGCCTGCATATTTGAACACCATCTAATGTTTGCACACATACTTAGATTTTGGAGAGCTATTTTACCAACATTGTCATAAAGATCCATGCAAGGGCAGCCTGAATGGCCCATTCAGGACTGGTTTTTAAAATATCCCATTGTTCATGCTTTTATTGGACCAACCAAAATATAAAAATTTTAAGTATGTATGGTCAGATAGAAAAAGTGCTATTCACAGCATACAATGAGAGTTTGCTTTCACTTGACTACCTGCACTAAAAGTGACAGCTGGATTGTGAAACAGAAAAACCAAAAAGGGCGCAACACTAGGTAGGCTGACTGGCCGGGTCGAACGACCATGGGAAGGTGACAGGGAAAATCGTGTGACAATGGATGCAAAGGGCGAAAAACTAATTAATAGCTGAGGAAACAAAAAAAAGTTTTACTTACATTTTAAATCATGGGATCAGACCGAGCATCACGATCCACAGCCGCGGCCACAGCCATTCAGCCTGCTTCTGACACCGCTGATTCTCCCCCACACTACTTAGCCCCTGGACCCACTTAGCGGGCCACGGACTGAGTCCCCATTCTTCTGGTTCCTCTCCCCCCTCGTCCACAGTCTCCTCTCCCCGTGTGGATGCACATCTTCCGGCACACCAGCTTCAGATAGACACCACGAATGACCCAATCCTTCACACCAGCCGTCCATCCTCTGGTCCCATGATTTAAAATGTAAGTAAAAAAATGTTTTTGTTTCCTCAGCTATTAATTAGTTTTTCGCCCTTTGCATCCATTGTCACACAATTTTCCCTGTCACCTTCCCTTGGTCGTTCGACCCGGCCAGTCAGCCTACCTAGTGTTGCGCCCTTTTTGGTTTTTCTGTTTTGCATATCCACAGGCACTCCTCCTGGGTTTCAGGGCTGCATACTATTTAGGGTCACATGTTTTACCCCCTCAATACCACTACAAGAGCGCTGTTTGTACGATTTGTGTTTTTATATGGATTGTGATTGGTTACTATGGTCATTGTATGTCCTATACATATAAGCATGCAAAATCATACAAGACAAGTATAACCATGAACAGCTTTAGCTCGCAAATCAAAAGAACATAGTTTTAATTATATTTCTTACCTTTGCATAACCCAACATAATCATCCGAACCAAGACTACATTAATATGAGCCCCAATGGAATCATCATGATAAATTTCATTAACCTACAGAGGAGATAATTACAAAATGATGAGGTCAACCTATTTACTTATTGTGAAATTCCAAAGGAATATGTTAACAATATACCCGCTGCAGAAAATATTAGGTAAGTCAAAATCTTTTACTAGATTTTGGACCAACCTTTTTCAACCTTTTTACCCCTGAGGAACCTTTAAAATAAGTTTCAGGTCATGGTAAACTCCTGCTAAAAATGATGATACCTAAAAGCTCATGGTACATTAGTGTGATCAATAAAAATAATAAGAAAACATAAGAAAAAGTAATGTGACAGTGTTAGTGTATCTGACACCCAGGAAAATGAAATGAATAATAACAACAGAAAAGAAAGGCAGACAGTAAGATTGTGGTGTTCTCTAACATTAGTGGTCAGTGTAGAAATTACCCCTTTTAACTGGTGGTTAGCAGAAAATTGCCCCCTTGCATTGGTGTTCAGTGTAGTTAGGAGATCTCTTTACCATTTCTCACTGTTTATGAAACCCCTAACAAACTCAGGAGGAACCTTAGGTTTCCACTGAACACTGGTTGAAAAGCACTGTTGCAGACACAGGAAAAGAGGAAAATAAATAAAACCAGACAAATCACGGGAAGATCTGATCCTGAAATTAAAACACATAGGGGTCTATTTACTAAGCTGCCATAGGCAGCCGAGTAAAGGACCAACCTGAAGTGAAGTGAGCCGAACGCTGTTCGGCTATTCACTTCAGCCGTACATCGGGTGGCTTCACGTGGCTTCGGGTCGGCCGAACATGCTCAGCATGTTCAGCCGACCCGTAGTGCAGAAGGAGTTCGACTCAGCCAATCCAACATCTGTATCGGCTAAGCAGAACCTCCGGCAGGCTACTCGCTGCTGTTCGGTCTATGCTTATAGATGCCGGACAGCAGTGAGTGGCTCGGCTGTTCTGCTCGGTCCCTCAGAGGGACCGAGCAGAACAGAAAAATAGATTTTAAAAAATAAAAATAAATAGAAAACGATTGTGCAGAGCTAGCAATGACAGCTAGCCCCGCCCAACTGTTTTCTATTGGCCGGCGGTTTTGCTGCCGTCAAAAAAAAGAAGAAAAAAAAACTCTCCCGGGTGCTCTGTGAGTCTCCCGCTCCCGGCCACCCAGGATAGAAACACTGCTTTTTCTTCTTTTTTTTTTCTTTATTCTGACACGGAGCCGTGTCAGAATAGAAAAAAAAAATGTTTGCCCATAGGATTGCATTGCTAGATTCCTATTGGCTATTTCAATTTGCAATAGCCAATAGTAAACTAATATTGCACCCGTCCTCTGCTGATGGACCTGATGGAGAACAGCTCCGTGTCAGAATAAATTTAAAAAAAAAGAAAAAGCAGTGTATCTCTCCTTGGCTGCCGGGAGCGGGAGACTCCCGGAGCGCCCGGGAGAGTTTCCTGTCTGGAGATCAGTGTCCCTGGTTAGCTGGTAACCAGGGACGCTGATCTCTCTGCAAGTGACAGGAGCCAGCCGTAAGATCACGGCTGGCTCTGCCCAGCTGTCAGAAGCAGGCTGTCAGCTTCGGCTTTCCGCACGGCTCAGCCGAGCAGAGGCATATGCCTTTGGCTCAACTGAGCCACTCGGCTAAGTTCGGGAGCTGTACGGGCTATTGTGAATAGCCCGTACAGAAGCCCTTCGGTTTTACTGAACCGAAGGGGTCCTGGGGCCGAAGCTAGCCAAAGGATCGGCCGAAGCTACGGCTAGATCCTTCAGCTGCTTCGTGAATAGACCCCATAGACCTTGATTTACTAAGGAGTGAAGTGAGGTAAAGAGAACACAAAAAAACAATAATACGAATGAGAATTTACAATAAAATAAAACACTTGTCCAGAATGCAAATTTGATCCAAACAACTTTAATGCATGCAATCTCACTTCAGACTTTAGTAAATCAGGCCCATGACGGGAAGGTTGCATGAGAAGACTCTGCTGTTATAGAAAATTGAAGACAAAAGGGAGCATTACCTTTGTAGCACTTGAATTTAGATGCTCTGGTATGAATTTCCTCAAACGATTTCCTCCTATTGCTGCTTACTTACGTACACTATCACCTGCCTATTTAGGACAAAGTTCCATCTAATAGCCTGACCCCCAGTAAGGACTACTCACTGATCCACGCTCCCTTGTTACCTCCTCTCTGCAGGAGTACATCAATTAAGCGTTAGACATGTGCACCGTTTTGATTCGAATTTTCCGTTATTTTTCGTTTTTCGGGATTCGGGTCGAAAAGTCAATTTGTTTCGGGATTCGGATGAAATTCGTTAGCAGTAGTCTATAGGAATTTTTGTTTTCGTTTAGTTCATTTGGTTGCAGCACAGTGACATTAAAAAAAATTTTTTGCAATGTCACGTTGCTGCAACGAAAATTTGTCCAAAAACGCAAATACCGCTAACACATTTCGTTCGAAATATCGTTTTCGGAAATTCGGATTCGTTATTTCTGTTATTTGGAAATTCGGATTCATCCGAATCTCTGAATAACGAAAATTCGTCCAAAAAACTTTTTCTGAAAACGCATCGCACATGTCTAGTAAGCGTTGGTGTTGGATGGTGTCAGAGTTTCCTGGGTGGTTGATGTCACTACCTGCCCCCATAGGACATTATTCAGGCCTCAAGACTGGCCAATTAGGACTTAACACTGTGACCTTGGGGAGGTCATATGCTCCTTCAAACCCAGAAGCCCCATGCCTTTAGATCAATGAAAGAGGTGAGAAGAGCAAGGGAGGATTAATGAGTATACCACGCTGGGGAGTTATCAGGTTATCAGGAGGCACTGGGGTTGATTTACTAAAGGCAAACAGACTGTTCACTTTGCAAGGTCATTTTCCTTCAAATTAGTGAATGAGTTGAAGCTCTCCTGACTTCCATCAACCAACCATGTGCAAGCAAAAATACACCATTTTAATATTTTTCTTGCACATTTGGGTATTCTTTGCATGCGATTGGGTATTTTTCACCATATCCACTAAGCTAAGGGAAATCTCCTTTCACAGTGTAAATGTAATTGCAAAGTGGTCAGTCTGTTTACTTGCACATAGACGATCGGCAGGCTATGGAGCCGCCGATCGTCTATATGTGAAACACCCGGTAGCGGGTGTTTGCATTGGTCGGGTCTTCTCTGCCCGTGCGTGCCCGCTAGGGGGCACGCGCGAGCAGAAAAAAAATGCCGTCTGGAGACGGCAACCCGCCAATGCTGCAATGCCGTCCGTCCGTTTTTTTACAACGGGTGGACGGCAAGTGGTTAATAAATCAACCCCAATGACACAAACATTACATTTTGCTAGACAGCAGCAGGCTGCAGTAAAAGAGATCAGTTGATCTATAATATTTTACAAGTCACTTTAATGTGGCACACCAGCCACTGCAGGAAATGAGCTGAATCCTCCCAAAAGAAGCACAGATAGCAATATAAAGTATCCAGCCCCATGATGGAAGTTCACTTTTCTTTTGAAATGGAAAGCTAGGGCATCCTTTTGGCAGGCTGGCAGCTCATCATTAGTCTATGCAGCTTTTCCATTTCTGAATATGTAAAAGCAGTTGTAAGATTTACAACGTTTTAATAGAAACATTTCCACTGGCAAAAAAATCAGACTGCCAGAGAAAATAACTGGAAAAATAGAAACCCAAGCTGGAACAAAGGAAATGGGATATACCCAAAGAGGTTTCCCAAAGAGGATATAAGCTGCGGTTTAATGGAAGAAAAACAATATTTGGGAATGTGATGGAGCAAGCCATTATTAACAACTATGACTTAAAACAGTTTGACCACATCAAAAGGGAATCTATGTTTTTGTCTGAAATAGTTTTCTTATACATGGAGTATAAGGAAAATGTAACAGTCCTGTTATTTTCATATGATTTATTATACAATAATTTAATTGTTTAATCATTAGACGTTAGAAAATTTCAGGAATAACTTCCCCCTTCGTCCAAATTTTAAAGCGGACCCTTGCACTCAAAAATCGAATTCTACCAATGCATCACTCTATGTATGATGATTACTTCAATTTGCCAACACAATGCACACTGGGATTGCCTTGTCCTTAGCAGAGAATTTCCTGCGAAATCTCATCTGTAATCTCATGAGATCTCAGGGAAAGGCAGGACATGTGCCTGGTCACATGTCCTAGTCACATGTGCCCAGGGGCGTACCTAGGCCCCCCCATCCATGACAAAAACACCCCCACCCCAGCTGTTTCGTCACCCTTGTGTGAGGCCCCGTTCACACCAGGGCGGTTCGGTTGCGCAGATTTGTCGGCTCTGAACTGCCAACATGAACAATCCTATATATTCCTATGGGACCGTTTATGCAATCGCACGGCTCCATGCAACCCGAACCACCTGCTGCACAAAATGCTCCCTGAGCTACTTTTTTTGTGCTGATCAGCGTGTTTTCCATATAGATTTCAATAGAAATGTGCCGATCGGCATGTTTTTGAGCATTTTTAAACTGTGTTTCAGCGCTGAAACACGATTAAAAATGCCCAAAAATGCTCTTTCAAAAATTGCGCAGAGACCACGCTTCATTTACGCATGTAGGTGCACCCGACGCACGTTTGGATTGTTTTGTGTTTTTTTTATTATTTATTGTTTTATTTTTATTTTGTTGAGTCGTCGCCATCATGGACAACGCTGGACATTGTGAATGACACTGGGTTACGTCGGTGGATCCATTTTTTGGGTGTTTATAAAAAAAAACACCCCTCACTCATTCACAAAGGGGGGCACATCTGGGTTACCCTGCTGTGAATAAGCCCCCTGCCAGCACCCCCACAACTAACGCCCCAGGCTTGTGGGGAGGAGGTCCTTGTCCCCATCGGCACGGGGACAAGGTGCTTTTCCAGGGATGACCCTGGAAAAGCACCCTCCCAGTGCCGAGGGCATGTGGCCCGGTATAGCAAGGAGGGAGGGCCGCTGGCTCGCCCCCTCCCCTTTCCTACCCTGCCAGGCCTGTGCTCAGATCAAGGGTCTGTTTGGGAATTTTAGGGGGACCCCACATTTTTTGGGGAGGGGTTCCTCCTTAAAATTCCTACCAGACCTTAAGTGCCTGGTATGACTTTGAAGGGGAACCCCACACACTTAATTTTTTTTAAATGGGGTCCCTCCTAACATTCCTACCAGACCTAAAGGGTTTTTTCTTTTTAAATGTAATTTTTTTCTTTACAAATGTTATTTTTGCTGCAGCAGGTTTTATACATTGTACAGATACGCCACTTTACAGACAGTTTAAGGGGACACCCCAGGCACAATATTTAAAGGAATTTTTTTTATTGTTTCAATTTAAGTGATGTTAAAATCACTCCTTTAAAAACGTTATTTACATTTTTTTTTATTGATTGATTCATGTCCCCCAGGGCTGTACCCGCATCCCCGTACACTTTTTTTATGGCCAATAAATTGCATATAAGGCTTCAAAATGGGGACATTTGATTTTTAAAGTTCTACCCCCATAGACTTGCATTGAGTTAGAGTTTGAATTCGAACTTTTCCCATGTTATAAAGTTCGAATTCAAACCGAACAGGGGGGTGTTCGGCTCATCACTACTCAGATTAAGCAACGAGAGTACAAATTGGTTATAGTGTTGTCCTGCATTATTCAGTACTGATTATAGCAATGAGTGATACTCACAATGTTCATCAGGGTAAGGAGGTAATTCTGAACATGTTCTTTGCCATGGAACCTGACAACAGAGTCATCTACTCCAAGCAGCACTTCTATGTTGTAATCATTGTCAGTTGTGTGCCTGCGTCGTCTAAGAGTCTCATTCACTTGTCTCTCAACACTGCTGTACACACTGTGAAAATCATCAAGGCCAGACAATTCTGCAATTGAAACATATATAGAAATTTAAAGATAGCAAAAACATCATATAATTTAATATGATTTGCAAGGACTACAGATATTTGGAAATAACGTTGATTCTTGCAACATGATTACAGATATTTAAAAACTAGATATAATGTTGATTTTCTACACACCTCCCGCCAAGATCTGTACCATGGAAGTTATGTAACTTCCTTACCATCTGACCAGGAAAGCTTTACAGTCACACTGTGCCAGAGTGCAGATTACTTTCATAGGGTTTACATGTTCTATCTATCTATCTATCTGTCACACAGATCCATGTAAACCAATCTCAAAATCTCAGGGTAAGCTTGAACATGTTAAATATAAATAAATAAAGTGTTGCGCTGTAAAACAGTGTCTACAATCTAAACTGCAATTAAACAAGTTATAGTATACAGTATAAAACTGGTCATTAACTTGTTATTATTTGGAAATTGAATAATTTTTGATACACATTAGGACATATGTTTGGTAAATCAATGTGATCAATTTTATCACAATGCTATTCATATGACACCTCGGCTCACAGACCCGAATGGCGTGTCAATGATGTCACTTTGCTACCACGAATATTCGTCCGTAACAAAAGTTCATACATACGGTACTACCGCTAACGAATATTCTGACTTTTTTTAAGCTGATGCTTAACACAATAAAACTTAATTCAGGAAAGAAATTTGGATGCATCAGAAATCTTTGTTATTGGAAATTCGTATTCGTTTGCATTCATTATTTCTGCCAAACGGAAAATGTGTACGCATTTGCAAAAATTTGTCCGAAGAAACAAATCTTTCAAAAACAAATGAGACATGTTTAGTTTAATTAAGCAGTTCAAGGTGTCTTTTATTTTAGTAGCAAAAGGGTAGGGCTTGGTTGGACTTGCAAACTGTTAATCTTTAAAGCCCATCTCCAGTCAAAACTTTTTATTTCATTTTTCAGAGGGGTTTGGGATTCTGTCAGGTCATTATTTAAATGTGCGTCCCTGTTCTCAGGACAGGAAGTGAGGAGAAATCTCCCAATAGGGATACAAAACACATGTTTGGCAGAGTGGGGAAGAACAGCGATTCTCAACCAGGGTTTCATGGAACCCTAGGGTTCCTCCCGTGGTTGCTAGGAGTTCCTTGAGCCATGGCTGATTGACCTCTCATTTGATGGTGTCTGCATAGTACCAGGGCCAACACCACTTGGCAGAGCCTGCTGCATGACACTAGTGATCTTTATAGCTGTCTGTACGAATGGCATTCTTACCACCAATGTCAGTGAGGAATTAATTCCACTGGCCCCACCTATGTAAGGGGCATTTTCCCACTGACCTCCAATTCATTGGTTTAGCAGGGGTTCTCTGAGACCTTAACATTATTTCAAGGGTTCTTCTAGGACAAAAAGGTTTGGAAAAGGTGAATTTAGAACTTCTGACAATGCTTCTCTTTCAAATTTTTGCAACCACCACTACCCTCGTTTTCCCCCACTGTATCCAGAATTAAAGGAGTTGGGCATTTTCAACTTACAAATTTGTCAACACACAGCCTTAACACAGTAGAAATTTCAGTCAAAAGACCATATCTAACAGCACCCATCACTTTTTTAATGATTGTACTGGAACTGCAGGATTTCATTGGTGTCTTACACAACAGACAGCAGAATGGAAAGATCATGAACAAATACTATATATATATATATATATAT